CTACTATTGCAGTATCATAGAGAATAGTCTCACTGCCTTGAAAGTCCTTCCTCCACTTTGCCCAGAAATTCTGGTAACCACTGATCTTGTTACTGTCTCTTAGTGGCATGTCATCTAATTAGAATCATACAGTAATAACGTTTTCATACTGCCTTCTTTCTCTTCGCAGTATTCATTTGGGGTTTCTCCATGTCTTTTTTAATGACTCAAGTTCATTTGTTTTTATTGCCAGATAATAGTTCATTGTACAAATGCACCAGAGTTAGTTTATGCTTGCATTCTCATATTGAAAGACGCCTTGGTTGCTTCCAGTTCTTGGTGATCATGAATAAAGAAAGCTGCTACAAACATTCGTTTCGCAAGTTTTATGTAGACTTAAGATTTCAGATCAGTTAGGTAAATACCTAACAGTGCTTTCTGTGTAATATATTGAGACTACGTTTAGCTTTGTAAAATCTACTGAAGTATGTTCCTAAGTGACTATACATTTTTGCATTTCTACCAGCAATTGTTTTTGTTTTTGTTTTTTGTACTTTAAGACGTTTATATGGGATACAAGTCCTTTATGAGAAATGTGTTTTGGGGACCAATGTCTATGTCGCTGAACTCCCATGTAGTCGACCATGGTTCGAGTCCCAGACCCGATGGCTTAAACTCAAACCGGGTGCGTGTGCGTGCCCAAGATCCTGAGAGGAAAATGGAGAAGAAGGTATTGCGGCATGGCCATCCCCTCGGGGGGTGATTCCTCACTTTCTATCTCTCTGTCTCTCTCTGTCTTTCTGGCAAGCGTACACGCCCTATAGCAAAAACCTCTCAAAAAAAAAAGAAAGAAAGAAAGAAAAGAAAGAAATGTATTTTGTATTTACTTTCACCCAATCTGCAGCTTGTCTTTTTTTTCTCTTTACAGCATTTTTCACAGTACAGACATTCTCAATTTCAATAAAGACAGCTTATCAGTTTTTCCTGTCATGGGTCATGTTTTTGGCAATGTATTTCAACTCATTGCAAGGCCCAATGCAGCTAGATTTTTTTCTTATAGTACCTTTCAAAAGTTTGATAGTATCACATTTTACATTTATGGCTATGATTCATTCCAAGTTAATTTTTATGAAAGGTATAGGGCAATTGATTATCTAGATTAATATTTTTGAATATGGATGTCCTGTTTTCTAGAACCATTAGTTGGAAAAATTATCTTTTCTTGACTGAATTTTTCTCACTCCTCTGTCAAAAATCAGTTAACTAGGGTCAGTAGTGTTGTGAAAGTGAAGGTGGCTGGGTCCCACATGTCCAGTTGCACAGTTCTAGTCCCAAATCCAGAGGTTTGAAAACCACTTGGGCACACATGCCCAAAATCCCAAGAAGAGAATGGAGGAGGAGAGACTGAGATGTGGCCATCCCCCATGGTGTTTTCTCACTTTTTCTCTCTCTGGTGAGCGCATCCATCCTGTAGCAAAACTGGAATAAAAAAAGAAAGAAAAGAAAAAAGAAATTAGTTCACTGTATTTGTGTGGGTCTGTTTCCGGGCCGTATTCTGTTTTACAGATCTGCCTGTTCATTCCTTTCGCCAATGCCATGCTGTATTGGTTACTGTAACTCTACAGTAAATCTTGAAGTTAGATGGTGTTAGTCTTCCAACTTTGTTCTTCAGTGTTGTTTGCCTTATCCTATAAATTTTAAAATCAGTTTATCAATGTTGACGAAACAATATATTGGCTTTATTTTTAACAGTTATTTTATTTCTTCCATGACCTAGAGAGAAATAGCACTCCCAACAGATTCCTGATACTGTACTCACCCCCAGCTTCAGCCAACCTCAGGTTATGGGCAGCATTCCCAGCCTGCTTATGGGGGTCTCCAAGTGTGAAGCTGGAATCTTTTCATGCGGGTCAGCCCCTCCAAGTGTTGTTTTTCCACCATGTGCTCAGGCCCAACTTGCTGAAGTTTTCATCAGAGTTATGTTGAATCTATAAGGCAAATTAGAAAAACGTGACATCTTTACAATATCAAGTTTCATCCACATATATGGGATCTTTCTCCATTTATTTAGATAGTTGAATCTTTTATCAAAGCTCTGTAAGCTTCCATATATAGATTTTGTATTTATACCTCTTTTAGTACTTCCTTTTTCCTTGTATCATAAGCATAAACTTTAACTATTTTTAAGTATATAGTTCTATGGCCCTTTTTAAAAAAAATAATTGTTTTACTTAACTTTATTACTATTATTTTCCAGTTTGATCAGAGAGAGACAGAGAAAGAGAGAGAAGGGGAAACTGAGAAAGCAAGCCATCAGGTCCGGGACTCGAAGCACAGTCATCCATGTGGAAGTCCAGTGCCTTAACCACCACACCACCTGCTGGCCCCTTTATGGCACATTTTTTTTGGAGAGACAGAGAGATTCTTGCTATAGGGTGCATGTGCTTGCCAGAGAGACAGAGAAAGACAGAGAGATAGAAAGTGAGAAATCACACACACACACACACACACACACACACACACACCGGCAGAATGGCCACGCTGTAGTTCTTTCTCCTTCAGTCACCTCTTGGGATTTGGGGCACACACATATACGCACTCTGTGAGTTTCAAACTGCTGGGTCTGGGACTCAAACACATGGTCAACCACGTGGGAGTTAGAGATGTAACCATTATGCCACCCCCTGGTTCTCTATAGTACTTTTCTAACTTCAGATTTCAATTGTTCATACTTGGCATATAGGAAAAGAACTAACTTTATGTTCTCCGTCTTTGCTGTAATTTCTCATTGGTTCCAGGAGGTTTTTTCGCTGATTCTGTAGCATTTTCTACATGGACAATCATGTCACCTGTAACAAAGACTGTTTTATGTATTCTCTCTCAATTTGTATATCTTTTACTTTCTTTGCTTGACTTACCACCACAGCTGAGATTTCTTGTATAACATTAAATTAAATAAGAGTGGTGAGAGTAAACATCTGTGTCTCATTCTTAATCTTTCAGGGGAAACTTAACTTTAGGTTTTTATGTAGATGTCCTTTATCAGGTGAGGAAGTTCTCTATTTCTAGTTTTTGACAAGAGGCTTTATCGTGAATGTGTGTTAGATTTTTCAGATGCTTTTTCTGCATCTATTGATTGTATCATTTTTCTTCTTTAGCCAGTTGTGAGAGATTATACTATTTAACTTTTGGATATTGGGCCAGCCTTGTTTATACCTAAAATAAATCCCATTTGGTCATGTTGTATAATTCTTTTCACACATTGTTGGATTTTCTTCTTTAATACATTGTTGAATTAAATTTGTTAATATATTCTTGAGGACTTTTTTTTTTTGCATCTATGCTTATGATAAGTATTAGGGTCTCATTTTCATTACTTATAATGTTCTTACCTGGTTTGGGTATTGGCTTAATGCTGGGTTCATAGCATTAGAAAGTATATCTTCTACTTCTGATTTACCTGCCTCCCCCCCCATCATCTATTGCATTTACTGATAATTTTCAAAGCTGTATCTCAGCATGTAAAAACCTCTTGTTTCCTGGTCCCATTGGATATTTCCACCTAGTGACTTTTTTTTTTTTTTAATCTATGTCCTATTCAAAATTTATTATCTCCAGGGAGATCATCCCACTCGGTTTTTCTGTCTTGGTTATGGATGGTTCCATTCACACAGGGCATTTAATTCAAAAGCTTGGGTCATTTAGGTGTTTTTATTTTCAACTAACAATTTGCTCTCAAATCTAGTTTCTTATTTTTTTGCCAACATCTTAGTTCACGTTCTTCTGTCTCTTGTCTGGAAGTTGCAGCAAGCAGCCTCTGTCTCTGTGTCATCAATGTCCATCAGTATCACAGCAATGTCCATCATTATCCCAACCTTGGACCAGCAGGTAGTATGGTGGTTAAAGCAGCTGGATCCCACATGGCTGGCTGCACAGTTAGAATCCCAGTCTAAGCTACTTTGAAAAACCCACCAGACACACCAATCTTGTCAGCACATGTCCATGTGTGTTCACAACCCTGAAGAGAGATTTGGAAGAGAAGAAATTTGATATAACCATCTCCCATGAGGAGTGCTTTCTGACTTCCTCCCTCCCTCCTAGCCCCCCCGAAATGCATGTACTCTCTGGCAGATTAAAAAAAAATCAGAACCTCATTTATACCTATCACTGCCAGCTGAAATACTTTACTGAAAAAAAACTAAACTGATTTGTGGGGTTATAAAATTTTGAAGATAATATTTAAACCCAACCTGTTGTCTTCTACTGTTTCTTATTGTCATTTGAACATGGCATCCTCTTTCAAAGTCTAATCATTTTGACTTTTGTGTATTAGCACTTCAATTTTTAAAGGCAAGAGATATACTTAATTAAATTTTTATAAATTTAAGCCTTCATGAATCTTGTTTAAAAGGTAATAAAATGCTTCTTGTAGTTGGGGACTTTGTCTTACTAGTACGTGAAATGTAGGAGCTGCTTAGTAAATGTTTATTAAACTGAATTGAAAAAGTTAAGGATTGGTTTAAATAAACTATTTTCACACATGTGGTTCTGTTAGACTATATAATATAACTGTTATTTTAGAAGATTTTTCTATAGGCTGAGGAAGTCATCTATTACTTTTTAGTGGTGACTGACCTTGATTATAGTTGAACAGCCTAAGAAAAGGAAACACTGTTGGAAATAATGCAGGCAAAGATACTGAGATGGGAGGAACGCTTGTGGGAATACTATTGTGAGTTCCGTGGAAGGTTGGCTTTAAGAGCTAGGTCAAAGAAATGAAGCCTTTGATGCAGGACTTAGTATCAATATTAAGAAATTTAAGTGTATAATTGTTTATTCATACACATGCAGAGTTCTACATTTGATATTTTGCTTCTTTATGGGATTAAGAATGTGTGTTATAGATATATTAGCTCTGAAAGTTGTTTTGTTTGTTTGTTTTTTTCTTTTTGGAGGTTTTTTTTGTATAATGTATCTATTTTTCAAAAATACTGAACTCTTTTTCAAACTTTCATTCTCAGGATCCAAGTCCGAAATATGGCAACTTTGAAAGATAGTAAGTATGTTATTTGTCTCAGTATGTGAATTAAGAAAAACTAAATTGTGGCAAATAAAAATTCTTTCAAAATTATACTGGTTTAATCCATTTTATTTTTAGTCAAAATTGAAAAAAATTAATCTGTACTTTATGTATGGTACATTGGACCTGTTTTGAGAAAAGCCAGCATGAGAAAGGTCAATTCTAATTCTGTTATCTATAGAATAATAACGATGTAAATAGGGGGAAAAATTACACTATTTGCACGTATACATAAAAATACAGGGCCAGCTCGTAACCTAGTGGTTAAAGGAGCTAGCTCCTACATAGTGAATTGTAGTTTGAATCCCAGTGCTGATGGGATTCACCACACACCAGGTGCATGGATGCTCAAAATCCCAACAGGATGGAGAAGTGCAGAAGGGATTGTGGCATGACCATACCTCCCTGGGGAGTGCTTTCCTCTCCC